TAATAGAAAACAAACAATGGTTTCTATAATATCTCTTTGCCTATAAAGAGTTTTTTTTATACTATAGCATATAGTGAAATATAGTAAGAAACAACATGTTAAAAACAGTGCAAACAGATGCACTACACCTTGATGGGACTTTAAAACAAGAAGATAGTAAATCAGCACTAGCTTTTATGTTGTGTTGCTTGCATCAAAATAGCTATTCGTGCTATCATAGATACTAAAATCGAACAACCCAGTTTAAAACCATTGTGGTTAATGAGTGAAAACATTATATGGCTTCAAACCAATATGACTGGGAATCGTGATTACCACATACTTCTATGTAATCTTATTATTTCTTACACTAGGGAAACTATTTGGTATTTATACATGTGAGTTTGATTTATTTCACTTATGAGTATAGTGTCGAGCTGTCTCTATTTATTTATCAATGTCTCAATGTGGTCATTCTTTATAGCGGAGTAGTACTCCATTGTATAAAAAATACCACAACTTTTTTATCCATTCTACAGTCGATGGACACTTAGGTTGTTTCCAAGATCTGGCTATTACAAATTGTGCTGCTATAAACATGGGTGCACATATATCACTGTGGTATGATGCTTTCAGTTCTTCTGGGAATATGTCTAGAAGTGGTATAGCTGGGTCATAATGGGCTTCCAGTCCTAGTTTTCTGAGAAATCTCCAGACTGACCTCCACAATGGTTGCACTAGGCTACACTCCCACCAACAGTGCAGGAGAGTTCCTTTTTCCCCACAGTCTCTCCAGCATTTGTTGTTGTTGGTTTTCTTGATCTTGGCCATTCTTTCAGGAGTGAGGTGAAATCTCAGTGTGGTTTTGATTTGCATTTCTCTAATGACCAACGATGATGAACATTTTTTCATATATTTATTTGCCATTTGTATTTCTTCATCTGAAAATTGTTTATTCATCTCAGATGCCCATTTTTGGATTGGGTCTTTGAATTTTGGGGGTCTGATTTTTTTTTTAATTCTTTGTATGTTCTAGACAGAAGTCCTTTGTCTGAGGGGCAGTTCATTAAGATTTTTTCCCAGTTTGTGGGTTTTCTTCTCACCACACTGGAGACTTCTTTTGATGTGCAGAAACTTTTTAATAAGAGGTGATCCCAGTTATTGATTCTGGGAAGTATTTCCCGTGCGGTTTGAGTCCTGTTCATGAATTCTTTACCTACTCTTATATCTTCAAGGTTTTTACCCAATTTGTCTTCCAATAGATTTAGTGTTTCTGTTTTAATATTAAGATCTTTGATCCATTTAGATTTTATTTTAGTACATGGTGATAGGCATGGGTCTAGTTTTAGTTTTCAACATATGGAGAGTTGAAAACTAAATGGTTTAATAAATGGTGGTTCCAGCACCATTTATTAAAGAGACTGTCGTTCTCCCAGTGAACATGTTTGGCTCCTTTATCGAAGACAAGTTGGTTGAGTGTGTTTGCAGTTGTGGTTGTATCTTCTAATCTATTCCACTGATCTTCAGCTCTGTTTTGGTTCCAGTACCATGTTGATTTTACTACGGTTGCTTTGTAGTATAATTTCAAGTCAGGGATTGCGGTACACCCTGCCTTGCCTTTGCTGCTTAGAACTGTCCTTGCTATTCTAGGTCTCTTCTCACTCCAGATGAATTTTAGGAGTAATTTCTTGAGTTCTATGAGGTATGTTGATGGTATTTTTATCAGATTGCATTGAATCTGTATAGCAGTTTTGGGAGAATGGCCAGTTTCACAATATTTATTCTTCCTATCCGTGAGCACGAGATGTTTTTCCATTTTCTGAGATAATCTTCAATTTCATTTTTCAGTGTAACATAATTTTCCCTGTACAGGTCTTTCACTTCTTTTGTGAGAGTAATTCCTAGATATTTCATTTTTGGGGTTGCTAGTGTGAAGGGTGTGGTTTCTCTTATTTTTCTTTCTGTGACTTTTTTGTTAGTGTATAGGAATGCTATTGATTTTTGAGTATTGATTGTGTATCTAGCTACATTACTAAATTTATTTATTATATCTAGCAGTCTTTCAATGGAGTTTTGGGGATCTTCTATATAGAGTATCATGTCATCTGAAAATAATGATAGCTTAACTACTTTTTTTCCTATCTTTATGCCTTTTATTTCTCTCTCTTGTCTAATTGCTCTGGCTAGTATTTCCAGTACTATATTAAATAGGAGCAGAGATAAGAGACATCCTTGTCTTGTGCCTGACTTTAAAGTAAAGGCCTTCAAGTTTTGGCCATTTAGAATGATATTGGCTATTGGTTTCTCATAGATGGCCTTTATTATATTGAGATAAAGACAATCTATTCCAACTTTCTGCAGAGTTCTTATCATGAATTAATGTTGGACCTTATCAAAAGCTTTTTATGCATCTATAGAAATGATCATATGGTTCTTACTTTTGGCTCTATTGATATGGTGTATTAAATTTTTTGATTTATGTATATTGAACCATCCCTGCATGCCTGGGATGAATCCCACTTGGTCATGGTGTATGATCTTCTTGATGATTTGCTGCATCCTACTTGCTAATATGTAATTGAGGATTTTTGCATCTGTGTTCATTAGGGAGATTGGTCTACTGTTCTCTTTTTTAGTTGGGTCTTTCTCAGGTTTTGGTACTAGAGTAATATATACTTCCAGGAATGACTTAGGAAGGATTGTTTCCCTTTCAATTTCATTGTAGAGAATGAAGAATGTCGGCATTAGGTCTTCATTGTATTTCTTATAGAATTCTGCAGTGAATCCATTTGGGCCTGGGCTCTTCTTTGTAGGTAAGAATTTAATTACTTTTTTTATTTCATTAAAGAAATTGGGTTATTCAGTAGTTTTACATCTTCATGACCTAGCTTTGGTACTTCATATGCTTCTAGGAATCTGTCCATTTCCTCTGTGTTATCAAACCATTGAGAGTAGAGGTTTTTGAAATAGGTGTTGATTATTTTCTGTATTTCTATAGGGTCTGTAGTGATTTCTCCTCTTTCATTCATTATTGCATGAATTTGAGCTTTTTCATCCCTTTTTTAAAATAAGGTTGACTAGGGGCTTATCAATTTTATTAATTCTTTCAAAGAACCAACTCTTTGATTCATTGATTTTTTGGATTTTTTTTTTAGTCTCTATTGCATTTATTTTTGCTTTGATTTTTATAATTTCTTCTCTTCTTTTGATTTTGGGCTTGACTAGCTCTTCTTTTTCTAGATGTTTGACGTGTAACATCAGGTTATTTATTTGTGTTCATTCTGTTTTCCTGATGTGTGAACACAGTGCTATAAATTTTCCTCTGAGGACAGCTTTCATTGCATCCCACAAATTCCGGTAAGTTGTATTTGTGTTTCCATTTTTCTGTAGGTAGTGTTTAATTTCTTCTTTGATTTCCTCTATGATCCACTGATTACTCAAGAGTGTGTTATTCAGTTTCCATGTCTCTGTGGGAATTTTGTAGTATCTTTCATCATTAATTTCTAATTTTATAGCGCTATGGTCCAATAGCATGCAAGGGATGATTTCAACCATTTTGCATTTATTTAGATATGTTTTGTGAATTAATATATGAGAAGGACTCATGTACTGCTGAGAAGAATGTGTATTCTTTTGTTTCTGGGTGAAATACTCTGTATATGTCTATTAAGTCCATTTGTTCACAAGTGAAATTCATTTCTTTTATTTATTTGCTGATTTTCTGTCTGGTTGATCTGTCCATTGGTGTCAATGGTGTGTTAAGATCTCCTGTTAGAATTGTGTTACTGCTGATTTGATTTTTCATTTCTGTTAGTACTTGTTTTATATAACTGGGTGCTCTGGAATTTGGTGCATATATAGTTAAGATAGTTATCGCTTCCTCTTGAAGTTTTCCCCTAACCAGTATGTAGTGACCTTCTTTATCCCTTCTGATCATTATTGGCTTGAAGTTCACACTGTCTGCAAACAGAATATCCACCCCCACTTTTTTGGGGGTTCCTGTTGCATGAAGTATTGTTTTCCATCATTTGACTTTCAGTCTGTGGGTATCCTTTTGGGTAGATGGGTTTCTTGTAGACAGCATATGGTTGGATTTTGTTTCTTGATCCATTCTGCCAGTCTGTTTCTTTTAATTGGTGCATTGAGACCATTTACATTAATGCTTAAAACTGTTATATATTGGTTTATTGTTGATACGTTATCTTTCTGCTGTTGCATCTTTGTCTTTCGGTTCTGTTTAATTGTCTCCTTTGTTTAGTGGTTTTTTTCCTAGATGCATCTAGGCTGTCTTTCAGTATTCTTTGCAGGGTTGGCTTGGTGATCATGTAGTTTTTCAGCTGTTCTTTGTCATGGAAGTATCTTATTTCTCCATTTTGAAGGACAGTTTTGCAGGATACATCAGCCTAGGTTGGAAATCATTTTCCTTTAGGATCTGAAAAACTTCACTCCATGCTCTTCTTGACTTTATTGTTTGTGCTGAGAAGTCTGCTGTGATTTTGATAGGTTTTCCTTTATAGGTGATCTGTCTTTTCTCTCTTACAGCTTTTAATATTCTATTCTTTTGTTCAATTTCTGGGATGGCCATTACTATGTGTCTGGGTGTAGTTTTATTTTGGTTATGGCTATTTGGAGTTCTATTCCTTTCACTGATCTTAATATCAGTTTCCAGTCTCATGTTTGGGAAATTTTCAGCGATTACTTCTCTAAATATACCCTTGACATCCTTTATGTTGTTCCCTTCTTTTTCATTTATCCCTATTAACCTTATGTTGTTCCTTTTTGTGTCATCTTGCAGGTGTTGAATTGTTATTTCCTGATTTCTTGTTATTTTTAAAAGATCTTTCATTTCTTGTTTGCAGGCTGCAATCTTGTCTTCAAGGTCTGAAATTCCATCTTCACATTCATTGAGGCGGTTTTTACAACTTTCGATGGAGTTTTTGATTTCTTGTATATCTCTTTGCGTCTGTTTTATATATTCTGTTTGTTTCTTATATTGTTCATCCTGGGATTATATCTTTTAGTTTATCTCCTCAAGTTTTTAAACTGTGTGTTCTTTAGATATGTTCAGCATCTCCTTCTTTTCTTTTATCATTTCTTCTTTTACCTGAGAGATTATTACTAGTTTGATTTCCTTTAAGGCTTCCCAGAGTTGCTTCTTTATTTTAGTTACTATTATTTCAGGTATTTCAGGTATGTGTCATATATTTTCTTCTATGCACATGGCTCCTAGGCTTTCTTGGGCTGGGCTGGATGTTTGAGACTGCATTTTGGTCTTTTGTTTTGTCATTTTCCTATTTTATTGAGCCTCAAGTTTTGTTCCAAGTGAGGGAGGGAGGTCAGCCAAGCTGGGACAGAGGTCTCTGCTCCCTCCCTACTCACTGATTTTGACAGGAAGCTGAATTCTGGGCACCAGGCAAAAAAAAAAAAAGTTTGCCAGCCTTGGGCGCTGTTCCCTGCCTCTGCTTGTCTTACCTGACCAACAGGGAGCTGGAGGAGCCCGTCCTGCAGGCAGATAGGAGAGTTCCATGCCTTCCCTGGACTTAGGTGACCCACAGGCAGCAGGATCCTGGGCCCCAAGCAGAGAAAACAGTTTGCCAGCCTAGGGGGAGGTTCCCTGCCTCCTCTGGTCTTACCGGACCAACAGGGAGAAGGAGGAGCCCCTAAACTCATTTTTAAAATAGTGAAAAAAATGTTATCTTAAAGCTCTGTGACTTGTAAATATGTAATCTCCTTCTCAGTCCATTCATATAATGGAGAACATTACATGAACTTTCAAGTTACTTTGAAGGTTATTAGCATCATTAATACAATGCTTTTTCTGCTGCACTGGTTCCTTTCCTTTTCAACCCCAGTTTCCCTCAGCATATGACAGGAGTTGTTTTCCAGCATCCTAGTGTCACTTTACTCCTTCTATTTTCAGCCTAGCTCCATTCCCCTTGTTTCCACATGATAACATAATAGAAGAAGACAAAGAGGAAAGGAATTCTCAGGACCAGGAATTGGGGGGGTGGGGCAGGCAGTAGAAATCTCAGGTGTGTTCAAAGCCCTTTGGGATTACAGTCCAGAACTCAATAAACTATATAAATACAATGAAGTCAGAATGGAAATCCAAGTGCCATCAGTAATGAAGTGGTCAAGCTTCAAGACATCAGAGAAAAAAACTACAAGTCACTGCAGATAGAAAGCCAACTAAAGAACAAGAGCTGTGGATAGAAATTGTTTGAAGAGACTGAATAGCATAAAGATCATTTTTCTTTTCTAGGAAAAGCTAAATTTGGATTCGTGGAGGTAAAATGAATTTCACTTCTAAATATGAGTAAAAACAGGCATCAAAGGAAGTATCACCATTGTGATAAGAATTTAAATTAAAAATTGGTGGGAAACTTGTGTCTACTTGTTTAATCAGGATCAGTCCTTGGCTTCACCCTCCCATGTATTATTTTCTCAGTCACTTGTCCTTCATAGATCTCTGCTACTCCTCTATCATAATCCCATAGATGTCAGAGAGCTTTGTGTTAGAGAGGAACTTCACATCCTTTCTGGAATGCATGGCTCAACTCTTCTTGTTCTGCTTCTTTGGTATTGATGATTCCTACATGCTGGCAGCCATGGCATATGATCGCTACTTTGCCATCTGCAATCCTTTGCTCTATCATGTCACCATGTCTCACAGAGTCTGTTTGCTGCTGGTCACCAATGTGTATGCAGCGGGGGTTCTGGGGGAATTAGCTCACACTAGCTATGTTTCCACTTGCTCCTTCTGTGGAACTAAAGTAATCCATCATTACTTCTGTGACATCTTTCCTCTTCTGAATATCACTTGTACAAGAGACTACACCAAGGAGCTGTTGGTGACAATGTTGCTTGGATTTAATGTGTTCACCTGTGCTTCAGCCATCTTTGTCTCTTATGCCTTCATCATTTCCAGGATTCTGCATGTACTTTCAGCTGGAGGCAGGTCCAAAGCCTTCAGTACCTGCAGCTCCCATCTTGCAGCTGTTGGGATTTTCTATGGCTCCACCACTTTCATGTATTTGAAACCAGCTAGCAATGATATGACCCAGGAGAAGAGGGCTTCTGTGTTTTACACCACTGTGGTTCCCGTGCTTAACTTCCTGATCTACAGCCTGAGAAACAAGGAAGTCAAAGAAGCCCTAAAATCAGTTCTGAATTGTAGGATGCTCTCCAGGTCTGCATAGAAAATGACACATTAAAAAAAATGAAAACAATTTTAAACATACATTTTGTCTTTTATTTTTGTTTGTTTGTCATAGTAACTAGTATCGCATTTCAGGGCCATTTTAAACTAAAACAGCTGAGTGATTTATTTTCTCCTTTTAGTCGCCTTACTATCAACACCCAGCTCACATTTTCAGTCTCCCGAGCCTATTTTCCTACCGCTTTAGGCCCCTGTTATGTCATTGTATTCTAAAACTAATCTTGATGAAGAAAGAAAGCAAACCCAACTTGGAGTAATCTGTAAAAGATCAGCACATTTTTGTTTTAAATATAAAGGCAGAAAATGATAGAAAAATAATTCTACATTAATGTACACTAAAGGAAAGTTACATTTGTTCTGCAAGTTAGATGTTGGATTTTAAAAAAGAAGATCTTATAATAAATATTATTTGATCAACTAAAAATGTTTAAATGTGGATTATCTCTTCAAATACAGTCAATTATACAATCATGATGATATTAAATTTCCAGAGTATGATAGTTGTATTGTGTTAACGTAGGCAAATGTTTCCATTCGTAGAAGATGCGTGCTGGAATATTTAAGAATGCAGTGTCCTTCTGTGTAGTCTTTTCTCAAATGGCACAGCACATGTTTGCATAAGTGTGTGTGAGTGCACATGTATATAGGATGACCCAGGAAAAGAGAACACTGAAATCAATGTGACTAGATGTTAACGAAGAAACAGCACACTGTTATACTCTTGGAACTGCTTTTTTTGTTTTGTTTTATTTTTTGTCTTTCTGGAAAGGGTCTCATTATGCAGTTCAGGCTGGCCTTGAGCTCACTGTGTAGCCAAAGGTGATTTCAAACTTGCAATGATTCTCCTGCATCAGCCTCCCGAGTGTTGGGATTACAGGTGTGTTCTACCATGTCTGGCATATTCTTGGAACTTTCTCTAGATAATGCATTGAAATAAAAGACACAATAAATAGTCACCCAGTTTGCTCTATTCCCAATAAAATATTGTAGGACTGGAAGCAGGCAGATCAGTTAGGAACCTACTACATGAAAGAATGAAAAGAGACTTAGGCCAGGATGGATATAGAAAAGGCAGTGAGAGAAGTCTGGATGTATCTTGAAGACTAACTCATGATTTAGTGAGTTTAGTGAGGTTTGGATGGGGGCTTTAAATAAAGTAAAATGTAATTGAAGATTACCCCCAATACTTTAGACTCAGCAACTAGAAAGATTGGGTTGCAATTTCCAAACATATAGAAAATTGTGAGAACCATTTTCGGCAAGGATATGTTTAACCCACTTAACAATGGTCATCTCTCCCTTACGAAAGACCTACCAATGCACTACTAATGTTGTAATTTCATTTATATGGCATAAAATATCAATGAAAAAATGTTGTACTAAAGTGGAAAAATATTCTAGATTTCAACAATAAACAAAACATTAAGAAAACAGTAAAAAAATAGTGAGTGGATCATAAGTCAGTCACACTTGTACTCACATAATGATGAAAGTTGTATAGTTGTCACTTTGAACAGAGTGACCTTCTTTTGCAATTAGATTGAGATTAAATCTAAGCTGAAAGGCACATAGATGGGCCAGTGTTGCAAACAACAAGAAGAAATGAAGTTGAAATAACATGTTCTCACTTTAGGATGTTCATTCTTCACCTTGAAATCTATCAGAAGAAAATCATTGTAATTGGTAGGATATCTTAACAAACATGATCCAAAATAGTTCTATAAAACTTTATGATTTTTTGTATAGCTTTGGTATACAGCTTATTAAGTTTCACAAGTTCACTTACTGCTTTCATTTTCTTAGGGAAAAAAATAAAGTTGTGTGGCACATGAATTCATAGAAAACTATACAGTTGACAAAAGCATTTGTTACACCTGAAATAAGGACTGATACTGAGGAACAAGTGCATGTCTCCTCATATTTACACCAATGGAAAATTCAGCATCTCACTCACAGCAGCCATTCAGTAAGCAAGCTCAGATATGAAGAAAAGAATAACTCTGAAGGAAATCTAAATTCTTATTCCTTTTCTTTCATACTCAATGTAGTTAAAAAATCTAAATCTCAATGTTCCTGTCAAAATATAAACACATTAAAATAATTAATATATACTTAACAATTTTTTTTTCATTTTATTAGTAATTTTGAGTCTCCTGTGGATTAGACAGCAATAGTAAAAGGCTAAGGAGAGAGCTCACTAACAGAGCACTCACTTAGCTTATAGGAGGCACCAGTTTGGCTCTTCAGGAAGTCCAAAAATAATCCCAACTATTACAAAGATTGTATTTTCATCTGAACTATTGATCTCCCATCCATCAGCTTTTTAAAATAAGGTTCATCTTCCCATCCAGACCTTTCTGAGTGCTTTATCTTCACATCCTGGTTCTGCAGACTGTAGATCAGAGGGTTCAGCATGGGGATCCCTGTGGTGTAGAACACGGAGGACACCTTCTCTTGCTCCAGGGAGTTACTTGAAGAGGGCTTGAAATACATGTAGATGATGGACCCAAAGAAGATGCCCACAGTCAGGAGATGAGAGCTGCAAGTTCCAAAAGCTTTAGACCGTCCTTCTGAGGACTGGATATGAAGGACGCTGCGGAAGATGAAGATGTAGGAGACAGCAACAGCAAGGGTGGGCACCAGTGTGTTAAACCCAACAATGAAAAACAGTAGAAGCTCACTGAGGTGTGTACTGGAGCGGGAGAGACTGAGGAGGGGAAGAACATCGCAGAAGTGATGACTGATGATATGGGATTGGAAGAAGTGTAATTTCATCATGTTGCTTGTATGGGCCACAGCAGACAGAATGCCCAGGGTGAAAGAGACCAGCACTAGCAGAGAGCAGAACCGAGGTGGCATGATCACATGATAGAGGAGTGGGTTGCAGACGGCAATGTAGCGATCATATGCCATGGCAGTCAGGAGGTAACCCTCAGCTACTGCAAAGACTACAAAGAAAAAGAGCTGGTCCATGCACTCAGAATAGAGGATTGTATTCTTCTTCCCCAGGAAGTTCACCAGCATTTAGGGGGTAATGACAGAGGAATAGCAGAGATCAATGAAAGACAGGCTGCCAAGGAAATACTACATGAGAGTGTGAAGCAGAAGGCAGACAGCAATCAGGAGGAACATGCCCAGGTTCCCCATCACCGTCGCCCCATCAAGCCCCAGGAAGAGGAGGAAGAGGGGCAGCTGGAGCTCTTGCTGCTGATTCAAGTCTACTAAGACAAACATGTGCACTGTGGAATGATTTCTGCTAGCCATTGTTCTTTGGAGATTTCTGTAAAATTGAAAATAAGAATTGCATCAAAATGGACTTTCAGTATTCTTCCCTAACCCTTACAAATGATAGCAAATTTGCATAAGAGATTAGCATAACAGAAAATCTGAGTCAAAGTTTTCATCATCTGTGGTCCTCATATGCTTTCCCCTTCACTGAAAGCTTCTGAGGTTTTCTGCAAATTGGCCCAAATGTTAAGTCACAAAACTGCCCCTTGACTGATTTAGAAGATTTTACCCTGCGAATTTGGTAGTAAAAATAATTTTTATGTGAGAAAATTACTGCTAGCCATTTGCTCACAATTAAACAAAATAAATAATTGATAAATACATCTTCACTTACAATTTTCGCAGATTTTTCAAATCTAAGACCTCTAGGCAGCTCCTACAACTATGGACACAAGGCAGGCATAAAGCAATAGCACAGAACACTGAAAACTCTCAATTTAGCTGGAGTCAGGGTGACCATGAGACTGGGTGTCAGTTGTCTATTTACCACTCTGTGAAGAAAAGTGTCTCTAACAAAACAGAGTAAGAGCACGGGACAAGTACTCTTCTGACATGTATTCCTCTTGCACTCAGTTGGTAAATTGTGGGAGGCGGGGGCAGAAGCTCTAACCTTGTGACCCCCAGTGAAGCACAGGCTCCTGAAACTCAAGTTCTCAACAACAGTGTTCATAAGAGGAGTCTTCAGTCCTCACTCCCTGAAATTTGGCTTTCTTGAGCACTAGCAGTGAACTAGTGTGGCCTTGTTATTCAGACTCCAAACTCATTCACCATCTCTTTTGTGCAGGGTGAAGAAGATCCTCTGTGGTTGCCTGAATGAATGTTGGTAATGGGGACACCCTTGGTCTTCCCACTGTTGACACTCATGACAGTTGAGATGCTGGCTGAAGAAATGAGAAAGTGTGCTGTATTATTTCCTGAAAGAAACACTGGGATCTATTTGTTGCACACATTTCACCATGAACTAGCTCCCTGACAAAGCCATTTTAGGTGTTGTATATGGCATCAGGGTACAAAGTTTTCCATTCTTCATTTAGAAAAGTCAACCAGAGAAGATAATGATTCTCCCACTCATCATTTCTGTCTTCTCCTTCCTTCTTTTTTTTTTCTTCCCTCTTCTGTATCCTTATCTTCCTTATGGACTGCAAATTACTTGTATGCTTTACATATGCTATAGCATTTAGTTAATGAAAAATGCTCAACATAGAACCTCTTACTTTCCTGTTTTGCCCATAAAGGAATTGAGATTTAGAAAATTTCAGAGTCAGGATTTGAGTCCAGGGAGTACAGGCCCAGAGTCCTCTTTTTCTCAGCTCTTTGGAGTGATAGATTAATGTCTTCATACCGATTATTTTCTAACTCATTGTAATACTCATGGAAATGTGAACACGGTTAGCTGTAACAGAATGACCGGTCTTTTAGTTGCTTCCTGTGAAGAACATGTCTAGGTGTACTACAGGTGGGTGGGACTCCTGAACAGTGAGAAAACTGGGAAGACTGCCACTCGGAAGTTTTCAGAAGATGAGAACCAGAGACCTCGAACAAAATCTTTTGTGCATGATTATTTCTAAAACTAAAAGAGACTTGCGCAAAGTACAAAGGAAAAAAAGAGTTTCTTTTGACATAGAATATTAAATATTAAAAGATAACACTGAAATAATATTTTGCCATTATACCTTAAGAGAGGTACTTGAA